TATAAATATATATCAAAGCCGAAGCAAATTATAAAATTATTAAATTTATAATATTAAAATTTTTTATTTTCTAAGAAAAAATTAAATTAAAAAATTTTTTGTTGAATAAAAATTTAAGATTTGATATTTTTTAAATAAAATTACTTTTCCCTTAAAAGGTTTTACTATTTAAATAATAATATTATTTAATTATTTAAATAAATAAATTAAATATTTTATTATTTAATTAAAAATAAAATATTTAGAAAGTTATAAATTTATCCTAAATTCCATAGATCCTCTTTCTCTATCTCTCCCCTTCCTCCTGATCCATTATCAGTAAGTATATTTATCCGATAAGTTTCTCCTCGAAATATGCCAATTTTTTGTTAATATATATTTAACAAAAGTCTGAAATCTGTGCCATTTTTAAAAAAAATATTTTTAAGATTATAGAATTATATCATTTTTAAATAATTCAGCATGAAGTTTAAACATGAGATTAAACATGAGATTTTAAGATGATATTTTTAATGCTAATTTCAATGATAATTAATATTATTCTACAATTTAAAAAATTTATTACAATATTCAATCAGTTTTCTTGAAAACAATGAAACTTGTATATAATCTTTTTCTGCAATCTTAAGAATTTTCCTTAAATTAAGAGTACCCCATAACCAGGGGATTGACCTGTATTGTCATTAATCAGTATGTGTTCCATGATGTAAGTGAAGAGAAATTCAAGGAGCATAAACGTTCTAAAGAAAAATCTAAGGAAAATTAGAAGCTTGTTAATTCTTGAATTACTTGAATGAAATAAAATTCTTAAACATTTTATGAATTCAATAAACTTTATGTGCATACAAACATTTCAATGTTTTAATATTATATTATAATAAATCATATTTATTATATAATTATAATGCGAATTGTATCACAATGAATATATATTATGTCGATAAATATGAAATATTTTAATATATTATGAATATATTGTGCGATGGAAACGTAAGGGCTATGTCTCAACGACATCAAGAGATACATCGAAATCACATTAATATCAAAGAATTTCTGACATTCACTATTCGTGCATATAACACGGGTAATTTAATGCCTACAGATGCAGAAGTGATGAATCGACCATGTGATGAGCGATTATCGAAAACCATTGATAGTAGAAGAAAATGATACTATTAACATTCGCAATATAAGCTATTTCTGAGTTTGAAGATAATAATTAATTATTATTAAGATAATAATTAATAATTAAATAATAATTAATTATTAATTAATTTAAATAATATTTATTTAATAATTTCTTTATTTTATAATAATATCTTTATTTTGTTTCGGTATTAGTCAAATAACAGTACATTGCAGTTTTGGTACAGGGATTATATTTTTCAAAATTTGTATGCTTAGGATTAATATTGGAATGCTAATTAGAATGGATTCAAGGAAATACAGCATACTTTTAAATTTTATAATGCATAAAATCTTAAATCTCATAAAAAAATCGGTTTTTATAACTTATAATATTTTTAAAAATAATTCAAAATTTTCTTCTAGAGTTATTGTAATCCAAATGATGAATTAATAGTAATCATATGAATTATAAATACAAATTGATTCAATGATGTTTTATTTATAATAAATTTAATTATTTAAATCTGTGAATAAAAAAACATGTGATTTCGAATTTCGAAAGTCTGATATGAGAGGTATGATCTGTATGATCACATACACATGATAATAATATTTTTTATTTTAGTTGTAAAACTATTGAGTTGTAAAACAAATGAACTAAACACATCTACAATCTATAATAGATTTAAAAAAATAGATCATTTAAATAATTTTTAAAAATATAAATATAATACTTAATATTACATATTAAATTTAATTATATATATATTTTTCAAGAAATTCAGAAAAGTATTTCGTATTTTCTATTTGAATTGAATGTAAAAAAATTTTTGATTATTATTTTATTTTTGTGAAAAAAATAATGTGTCGATATTTTAAGAGAAAAAGCTTTCTGCATCAATTTTAGAGAAAAAATTATATTATGCGTTATTTATAATTTTTTTTTAAATTAAGCATAAATTTAAAAATTTTTCTTTTGTTAAGTTGATATAATTGATAAAGATGATATAAATATTTTCAATTTAAATATTATCATGTTTTTAGATATGAAATAATCGAATTAAATAATAAAAGTTATTTTTTAGAATTATTATTTCTGGATTGAAAATAGGAACAGGTTTGAAATAAAGAAAGTAATAGAATCTTAAAACGAATGTATTGACTAAATATATATAATAATATAATGAAAAAAAAAATTATATATGAATTATTGCGATTGAATAATAATTGCATGAATGCATGAAAGTTATATAAAATATAAATCATTGGAATAATCAAGTATTTTCAAACTATAAAGTAAATATAAAGTATTTTTATAATAAATGTTTATTTTTATTATAAAATAATGCATGTAATTGTTTTTTTCCATAAAAATTCACTTATCATTTAAATTATGATTCGATTACATATTAATTATTTATTATTTATTATTTTTTAAATATCTATTTAAAAAGAAATTACAATTTTTATTATTTTATAAGTATTGTTAATGTAGATTTAATATATTATGTTAAAAATAAAAACTTTTACATTTTTTCTATTAATTAAAATAGTTAATTAATTAATTAAAAAAGTTGTTTTTAAAATTAATTATCTTA